CCTGTGCTCTACAATATATATAAAGATGGTAAGGATGTGAAGTAAAGTGGTTTGTAAATGATATTGTACATCATGCAGATAGCTCAGAAGAAGTAAGTTTTATTTTTAATTACAAAAGTAAATAAGTAATATAATATTTGTTGCTGCCTTGTTCGATACAAATGTTTCCAACATGCAGGTAACATTTATATACGTATTAGCTTGAATAAATCATTTTAATTAAGTTGCATTATAGGCGGAATGTTTGACTGGAAATATAAACGATGTTGTACATAATGCAAATAGCTTAGGCGAAAAAGAGGTAATAATCTAGTAATTGTTATTTATAAATAAAGATATATTCATTGCTACTTTTTTTTATATAAATATTACCTAACATTTGGCAACATTCATAATTGTGTATAATGCCTAATTATAAAGTAAGTTATAATAGATAATAATTATAAGTAAAATGAATTAGTAAATAAAGAAAACTAGTAAGAATGTATATAATAGTTGTATGTTGCATTGTCTAAATTGGTAAAATAAAGAAAGACTAACTACGGTGTAAAAAATAAAGAATATCAAAATGTGAATGTTACTTTTTTGACATCTACTTGATTCTACAGATACAGTGCAGTCGCACTTATAAATGGGCTTGATGTTTTTTTGGATTAAATATGTCGTATTAATGGTTCTTTTTAACTTGTTAAAACTTAAAGTTATTATCAAATTTATATATACTATTTTAATCAAATAGTTAATATAAAATAATAAACATATAAATTGTTTTATTTTCTGTAAAAATTGTTTTCTTGATATATTTCAATTGTTTATCACTATGTATATCACTTATAGCATTATATTACTTATAATTTTTTGTTTTATTTATTTCAAGTATGTTATACAAATGCATACATTAAATATTGTACTAAAGTCAAGTTTTGATGTTTTAGGTGCATTATTGCTATTGCTTTTCAAAGATTTGTAGGATTTAACAAGATTTAAATTTTATTTTGTTTATTGATTTTATTCGGAGAAAGCGATCCCATAGATTAAGAGAGCTCAATAATATTAGTGTGATAAAATTTGCTTTTATGATTTAATATGACAATTCAAATAACATTAGATCAAAAAAACTAGAAAACAAATCATGCCTTTTTACCATGAAAAATCCATGAGTTTTCCTTGGAAAGATGTTCCTAATACCTATGGAAATTCCATGGTTTTTTGCATGGATGGAAAATCATTGAATATCCATGGTATTTGGAACACTTTTCCATGAAAAACTCCTGGGTTTCTCATATGAAACTCATGGATTTCCCATGGACAACTCATAGATTTCCCATGAAAAAGTGTTCCAAATAACCATAGTTTTTCCATGGTTTTTTTTCACGGGTTTTTTCATGGAAATTTTCCGTAAGGGATAAGCAACAACGGTTATATATATATATATATATATATATATATATATAACGGTTATATATATATATATATATATATATATATATATATATATATATATATATATATATATATATATATATTTATATATATATATATATATATATTATATATATATATATATATATGTATATATATATATATATATTTATATATATATATATATATTATATTTATATATATATTCATATATATACATATATATATATATATATATATATATATATATATATATATATATATATATATATATATATATATATATATATATATACATATACATATATATATACATATCTATATATCTATCTATCTATATATATATATATATATATATATATATATATATATATATATATATATATATATATATATATATATATATATATATATATATATATATATATATATATATATATATATATATATATATATACATACATACATTCTCTATATAGAATTATTTTTTATGTTTTACCTTTAGTTTATATATGTTTTTTGATTTTCCAATTGCTTTTATCAATTCCTTTTAGATTTACAATTGCTTAGTAATTATTATCAAAATTTAGATTTTTTTTCAACTTAGAAGACTTTCTTGTTATTGTTTTGTTTTAACTTATCATTTGTTAAAAATATCTGCGAAAAATTTAAAAATTAAAAAGTTAAACTGGATAATAAATCCAATTGTGTATTATGCATCATATGTTTAATCAATTGTAGCAGACTTTAATGTAATTTATTTTGTTTAAAGAATGTTTGTTTTTATTAAAAAAGGAACTTGGAGATCAATTTTTAATAAATGTTTAATTTTTATTTTAAAATGCCTATTAAAGGCATAAATCTTCAAACAAAAACACACACTAAGGAATTTATTTTAATTTTTAAGTAAATAACTTTTTAAAAGATAAGATTGAGTAAGAACCGTGTTTCGGAATACCTATGTAAAGATAATAAATGTATAAAGTAATAAAGACAATTAGTTATTAAAAAAGAAAATTTTTGATAAAAATAGTTATATTTTAGATAAAAAATTGATATAAAGATTTTCTTTAATAAAATAAAAAAATAATTTCTAATATTTGAAGTCATTTAAAATTACATAAAAGAAAGACGTTAGGGATCGTCCTTAAAGTACGTACGCTCGGAGAGGAAGAAGAGGTCTGCAAATGGCGTTTCTGAAATAAAAAGGCAGTAGGTTAATTATAAAAAGTATAAAAGTATGGAGATACTAAATTTAAAAAAATATCATAAAATGTTGGGTTAGTAGATTAAAGGCGAAGATACTTTTAGGGAGGTAGAGAGTAATCATAAAAGCGTAGGGTAAATTGCGGGGGGAAGGGGGGGGGAGGTTGGCGAAAAAAAGCGTACGCACTTTATGGACGACCCCTTACAAATTAAATCATTATTTGTTTGCTTTACCATAACTTATCATAATCTTAAACATTTTAACATAAATAACTCTTTTTTTTTGGACGTAATTTGGCGAAAAACACCATTTTAAATAAATATTGACGCAAAAAATTTGAAATCATCTCAGTTGCAAATAACTTAATAAATTATAATGGCTACTCAATTCTGTTTACAATATATTATAGCCGTAAATACTTGTACTAAATACTAGTTACCGTATTTAATTCGGTTTCTTGTACTGTTTACGGAGCTGCACTAAAATTGTTCATAAGCAAAATTTGCTTTTTTAGATTGTAAAGTAAGATTTTAATTAACATTTTTAGTCATAGAGGTCTAAATTATTTTAAAGAGTTATATTTATTCTGTCGAGTTAAGGTTATTAAATACGTTATATTTTTTATATTTGCACCTGGTGGTGTATAAATGGAATTATTACAATAATATTAATAGTTTTCTTTTAACTTGGTCTTTGTTAGTACAGCTTTAGGTACAACTTACTCAAAAGAACAAAAAAATAAACATAATGCGTTAATAGCTTAAATTTGATTAATATTGTTAAGATAAACAAATCATCTCCCCAAAATGTGCTTATTGAAGTGGATACTCCACAAAAAAAAATTACATTGCACTCATATGTTTGGGATTTGATCCGTAGAAAGTACCACTTTTAAAACAAAATTACTTCGTGCATTATTAATTTACCGTTTTTGTGAAAATTGTTTTATAAAAAGTTGTTGCTATAATTAGATAAACAGATAAGCTTAAAATTATTTACAATTCTCTGATATAGTTTTGCATTTTAATTATTTTATTTTAGAAATAAATAACTATTTCTTTTGTTTACTTAGGAACTATTTGCAATGTATGCCCCCTCATCACAAACTGCAAACAGGGAAGAAAGCAGTATTAGGGTGACCTACACAAAACTCTTACAGTTTAAATATCTTCCCATTTAATTCATACTTTTAAACTGGTTCAATTACATGTAATGATCATCAAAAGGAACACTATTCCGAGATATAGAAAAAAGAAACAAAAATAAAAACTGAATTTAAATCTGATATTGCTGTTAATATTGATTTTATGAATTATGAATAAAAAATGAATAAAAAATAAACGGCACCAATACTATAAAGTCAATATTGGCCAATATTGGCAAAATGTTCACACTGCAACATTGGTCCGATATAATTTATAATATTGCGTCAATATTGTAAATAATATCGCGCTAATAATGGGGATATTATACTGGCCAATATCGGCCTAATATAGTTTACAATATCATCCTGATATATATAACATATATGACTAAATTAGTGCAATATATTGAGTATTTTCGATTAAATTTTTATTATTAAAAATAATAAAAAGTATTGCCTTCTACAAATTTGTAATAATTAAAATTACTGCATTATTGTATTATTCTTTTGAGTTAAACAGCTGCATTATTCTTTTGAGTTAAACAGGTTATAGTCTAGGAGATGACTATAATCAAAGAACACGCTTTAAGAAAAAAAAATTCAAAATCATTAAATTTATTTGAAGTTAAATGAAACAAATACAAATGAAAAAAAGAGGTATAGATTTTTTTAAAACCAAAATATAACAAAATAAAATCAATTTTATTTAAATACACGTACAAAAAACATGCACATATATATATATATATATATATATATATATATATATATATATATATATAATATATATATATATATATATATATATATATATATATATATATATATATATATATATATATATGTATATATATATATATATATATATATATATATATATATATATATATATATATATATATATATATATCTATATATATCTATATATATATATATATATATATATATATATATATATATATATATATATATATATATATATATATATATATATATATATATATATATATATATATATATATATATATATATATATATTTATATATATATATATATATATATATATATATATATATATATATATATATATATATATATATAAACTACTGAATTATACTCTCACTATGAGATAGTGGGCATCGACTTTCATTATATTGGCGATACTTATTTACCCTACAGATGTCATTGCTCATTATTGGGCATTGCTCAGTAACGGTTCTATTTTTC